GTGGCATTGGTATGAAAAAATATATTTTCATTGGTACATGCCCCCCTCTAGCAGTACCCAGCTACCCATGTCATTCTTTTTACATTTTTACAGTCAATTCGTTTTTATTGAGGTATTAAAACAAACTACAGGGTAGCAAACAATGAATACATAAATCAAAGAACGAGTCAGAAAAATATACAATATAATATAATCTTCAGAGAAGCATGTGCAAACAATCCCCAGTGTCTTTTTTTTTGCACTTAAAGCTTTAAACTGGCCTTTTGAAAAGGCCAGACAAAAAAAATTAAACCTGGTGGTTGAGGATTTTCTTGAGTGTTTTGTGAACGTTTAGCAGACCGAACTTTGCTTGGTTAGTTCATTGCTATTCAATGGCTTCACTGCCACAAACTGTAACTGAGGACCTCTATACCACAATTACTGGAGGGTACAAGCTGCTATATCAGGCAAGTCCAGTATAAGTTTAGTCAAGCCCTGACTATCCCCTATTAATTGGGAAAACGAAATGCGAAATGAGGAGCTATAGGCTCTTAGCTTTGGTCTAGAGACATGTTATAAAACACACTATAGATACATAGGTCATAGAAATCGTCATTCATGGCACTTGGTAGTGAAAACACTGAAAAATGGGTATGCAGAGCAGATGATTTCCTTGTTCCTTTTACACTTTTGCAGTCAAATTTTAGAAAACTCCTCTATAAGTTAGTTGTGTGTTCCCATTCACACAGCATAATGACAAATAATTGATTTGAGTACCTTCATAGTGATTTGACCTTCTAGAAAGACTTCAGCTGGGTACACATGGAGTGAATTTTTAGCGTATTCAGCAGGAGTCGGCCAAAATTCATGCCTTCGGTGACCCTATTCCCTAACAATAGATTGACTTTTGCAGAAAGAACATGTTGGAAATTCCTCAGCCAAACAGCTACAATCAGCGGCAATGTTCTGGTATTCTGGCAGCGGCCGGTGACACTGTCAGAATACTCACAGCGAAGATTCATTCATCCATGCTGTTCAGCATGGATGGCGGAATCTGTTATATTTCTTTAGTTCATCCCACAGGTTGAACAAGAAAAAATATAACAGTGTATATCCTTCTTTAGGACTGAAATTTGAGGATTGTATTTTTCTGATTAACATTTGAATGCAGAAGCAAGGCTTTTAATCTTTTAACTAGGGATGTCCCAACGCCACTTTTTCAGGCCCAAGTACAAGTACTTCCCCTCATGTACTTGCCGATACCAATTAGATACTTTTTCTTAAAAGGGACAGGTGACTTTAAATGAGCCATAGTACAACTACATATTATGTACTATGGATCATGATTTAACCTATTCATGTTAGCAGGGGAAAATTGTAAATCTATTGTTGCAGTGCATTCTATATGTAGTATATAGTACATGTACATATAGAGTGCACTGCAACAATAGATTTACAATTATCCTCTGCTAACATGAATGGATTAAATGATCCCTAGTACAGGGCTACATACAGATCATTTAATCCATTCATGC